GACTGGAGAGACCGGTGCGCAGAGACCAGCGCGGACCGAAGATAGACCGCATAGACCAGACTTGAGAGACCAGCGCGGACCCGTATGGATCCAGGAGCATGCAGCACGGACCCGTATGGAGAGACCAGTGCAGACCCGTATATGGGAGAGACCAGTGCAGACCCGTCTAGATCCATGGGAGAGACCAGTGCAGACCCGTCTAGATCCATGGGAGAGACCAGTGCAGACCCGTATATGGGAGAGACCAGTGCAGACACGTATAGATCCATGGGAGAGACCAGCGCAGACCCGTATAGATCCATAGGAGAGACCAGCGCAGAGACTCAGTGCGGACCCAGTAACCTCCTGCAGCAGCAGTATATATGCCGTTGTTCTGTGGCCCGTGCAGTGGCGGCTGGTGGAATTTTCTACTGGGGGGGCTATGAATATGATGACTAGATATATACCAGCAGTAAGTAAGTTTACACTGACTGTTGTGACTGAAGCCTCACACGAGAATCAACAAGGTCACATGATGCTTTCTGATCCCTACCCTGTAGCTTTCATCCAGCTGGGATGAAATATTTATCTTCCCAAACATAGCTAATTTGAGGGCATTTTGCATGTGGATACCAGTCTGCTCATGCTTCTTTGCCTTTTCTAAAAAGTGCTTCAGATCAGTCATACCTGTCTTGATCCATGCTGGGTCAGATCCTGATGTTTGAAACAAGAGGCATGGAAAGCAAAATAAAGCATTAGCCTCGCTACATGCTGCTAGCCAAGATTTGGCGCTGAACCAGGTCCTGGACTGCTGACTAATGGTAATATTTGGCTGATCAGGTCCAAGCTCTTTAACCTCAACCTTCTCCTGGTATGATCTTCTCTCAAACGGTATTGTTTTGTGTGATCTAACTGAATTATTCTTTTTCTCGTTCTCCATTTTGCGTCTCTTTACGTTCGTCTCAAACTCCCACAGCTTGACCTGTCAATCACTGTAAACGGACTTCACAGACAGTGACAGTACAGGTCGCGAGCGATCCCGCCCCCTCAGGGCGCACTTCTCCTGCGCCCCCAAATCGTCTTATCTCTTGCATTGAAGAGGAGCTACTGCGCATGTACAACTTTTAACGAGAGTCCATAGACGGCTCAGGGCGCAATCTTTTGCGCCCTGAGGCGGAAATACGTCCTCAGTCCGACACAGACAACGCTGATGAGCTTAATCAATCCAACTCAGCATAAACTATAAAGTATTTCTTCCACATCTGAAATAAAACACACATAAATTTCGAAATATTTTAATGTTATTATTTTTTTTAACGTTTTATTCAAGGTAACATGGAAAGTTGTGAGTGGCGGGGCGGCGCCCTAGCGCCCTCTATTGGCCGGCCGCCACTGGGCCCGTGGATAAAGAAATGCCCCCTATAAATAGGAAGGGATCACTAATACACGGCAAGATTTCCAATGTATTTGATAAAGCGTTGGCACATTTCATTTCAAAATGAATTAAAAAGTAGGCCAGATCTGCAGTGAAAAAGGCGGTATATAAATAAAGATTACTAATAAAGATTACTACAAATAAATAAATACATACATCGATATGACGGACATATCACTGGAATGTTGTATTTTTATTCAACTTCACCAAAGAGGACAACCCCGGCGTGTGAACATTTCGGCACTGAATGCGTACGAGTGCTCCTGAGGACTCGTAGGATTTGTACTTGCCCAAGAGAAATTCTGGTTACGAGAAATATTCGTGAATGCCACTTTCTTCGTAAAAACCGCGTATGTAGGATTTACGTACAAATCTGTTCCTAAGAACCGTTCGTGAATGAGGCCCAATGTCTGTATAGGATTGCTTATCTTTTAATATATTTTTCCTATTGGGTTAGTGTAATTGGTTTTTTGACTGACTTGACACTGAAGCTAAGCAATGATGATAATACATAAAATATTATTCATATATTAGGGCTGTCAAACGATTAAAAATTTTAATCGAGTTCATTACAGCTTAAAAATTAATTAATCGCATTTCGAACTATTGGCAAAATGATGCCATTTTTTCTGTAAATGGTTGTTTGAATGGAAAGATAAATGAGAACATAGTGTACATTTGTACTGTATGTGTTTATTATAACAATAAATCTACATATAATAGCATTAACATGATTAACATTCGGTCTTTCCGTAATAGACACTACTTTTTCAGCTCGACATATTCCACATCTGCTAAAGCCTCCCCTTTCTTCCTCTTCTCTGTCTGTGGCTGTGGATCCTCTTCATTATTTTGCCTCTACAAACTATTGTTTGTTACAGGAATGAGAATGGGACATTTAAAAAAAGTCTGAAATGCAGGTCAGCCAATGGCTGTCATTAAATCTGTTTGATTTGCTCACAACATTTTCTTTTTGGGCACTAACAACATGAAATGGTAGTTGGTAGTTAGGTACCCCAGCTTTAATTTAGCGTCTTTTTTTCGCATCGGGAGAAGACACGGGGAGACGGACTGTTTCTTGCAGCGCTGTTTTGGTTGTGTGCACTGGTCACGCCTGTGCGTGATCAGTGCACACAGTGGTCCTGTGTATATGGCATTGGGTACATGGCCACGTTACGGCTGCGCGCTCCTGTGTTGTTGCAAGCCGCTCACAGTGGACGTGGCAATTCCAAGCGATGGTAACATCCGGAAAAAGGAACATGAAAAGCTTGAGAAATACCAAGGTCTCAGAGAGGAGCTGGAGAGGGCCTGGAGGGTAAAGGTGACAGTAGTGTATATGTATTCACAGTACAATTTTTGCCGTTTGGTGTAGCAATACCGAATTTAGAAATATACTTCCCCTCCACGGGGCCAACCAACGCATTCACTTCTTTGTTCATGTTCACTGTGCCGCGAACCAGTGCGGAAATCATAGCGAGTGCAGCTGCGAGGCAGCGTGCAAGTGTATTACCGCACCAAACAAAAACTTTAGACACTTTTCACAGAAACAGCGGTGGGAACAGTGTTTCTCTGAGTCAGTTCTATCATTGGGAGGTTTACAGACAGGTTAGGTTTGCGGAGAACAAGCCTGGAAGTCGCATGGTGCTCCAGTACCAATCTGAAACTCATCCAGTGCAAAAATAATACAATAATATGATAAAGGGGCAACAGTGGCTCCGTTGGTAGAACATTGTACTTTGGGCCTGAATTAATGGGTTCGAGCCCACCACAAGACCGACTTCATGACTCCCACTGATGTCTGCTAGCGATGGGTAAAGATGAAACAGTATTTTTTTATTTGGGCCCCTTGTGATGCAGAATCCAATTTTTGAGAATGTCTCAAAGTTTTGGATTACATCCACGGAGCAGAGAGGGTGACAAGAGACTGACCACAGATGGTTAGTGCGGGTATCACAAGTGTAAAAACAGGTTATTCGGACCCGGATTTAAAAAGGACCACTGGATTAAGCGAATTAAAAGCAATTTATTATAAAATACATTAAAAACAAGTAAATAAAAGCAATAAAAACCTAAGCTAAAAAAAGGGCTAAAAAGCTAAAACAGAGGCTAAAACAGGCTAAAATGCGTCCCCACGGCCTGGGCCGCCAGACCACGGGGCTCTCACCCGCCGCGCCTGGCTCCCGTGTCTGGCTCCCTCTCCGTTTTCAGTCCCGGGACCGGGCCGCAGTCCCGCCAGCCGCTCGCCGACCACGGGTCGCCACCGGGCACCCGCGGGGGACAGCCGGAACATCCCGGTCTTTGGGCCTAGCCCGGGCGCGCACGCGCCAATGCGCTATCAATGCGCGCCTCACCGATGCCGCTCTCCCCGCTGGCCTCAGTGCCCCGTGGTCTCTGGCTGGCGGTGCTCGTCCTTGGCCCGGTCCCATGTCCTCCTCCTCTGGACTGGCTCTGCCCTCCTCTCTTCCTCTCTCTGTGTCCTCCCGTCCTCCAGTGCCCGCCCCCAATTAAAAAGTCTTGATTAAAACATGTGCGGGTTAGGGGAAGTGTCCAGGGAACAATGATAAAATGCATGCATTAAAACCATAAAAACACACAAAACACATCACAAAAATAAAAGCAGTTAAAAGTCCTTTTTAAAAGTCCACTTTCCCACACGGGCAGTCTTCGGTCTTGCACCTCAGTGACTATGCCACTGAACAAATATCGTTAACCCATTAAAACACCTGGTGAAACAGACCTCTCGGTCCTACGGCCGTCTTTAGAACCACCCTCTAAAACCTGAAATGTCCTGAAATTCAACGTAAATGATTGAAATCTCGGCCTCTGCAGCAGATAGAAACATAATTTCTAAAGAATTTGAGAGCTGACACTTGTGGCTGTCAATAAGAATGCAGTGTATTATTATAAACCTTCAGTAGAATAAAACCAAAAATAAACAACTTCCACACAGAAAATGTAATAAAACAACAACAAAATTATTTGAGACAAACACATGTTTCTCAATACAATAAGTCAAAAAGAGTTTGGTAATAAAGTAGCACTAACTGTGTGAAAAAAAATATCTATAAAAGTCAAATAATGACGCACAGGGCTCTTTCTTGAGTAAGCAAAATAAAAAACAAGACTGTTGTGGTTTGTTCTGTTTGATTTGTTCACAACATTTTACTTTTGTGCACAAATAACATGCATTGTCAATGCAAGCGAAAATGTTGGTATCCGAGTTTTAATTCAGTGAGTTTTGGCTACGCTTCATGTGGAGACTTGGAGAGAGGCAGGGTAGACAGGCAAGACCCGCACGTGCAACAAGCTAGGGATGGTCAATGGTTCTGTCCGCGCATCCAGGGTCCGTGCTCGGTACATGAGCAGGTTACGACTTTAATTTCGGAACATATCCAGGTCGAATAGTAATCTGGGCATCTCCCTTCGGCCTCCTGCAGCTCATTTGTTATAAATGTATCTGGCCTCGGGAGTCTTGGGCTAATGGCGGAGTAACAGCTCTCTGCTTGGGTTCCCGCAGCTCGGTATCTATTTCTGTTTATTTAACTTTGAAGACCACGACGAAACTCGTGTCAATCTGCGCATGAAGATGCAAAGACAGAGGAAGATCACTAATATGGGGGTGAAATCTGGAAAACAAGAAGAAAACAACGTTTCCACATCTGCCGCTGCTAACAATGAAGAAGGAGTAATGGCCGACCCCACTCCACCGCCTGCTCTTGCGCCAGTACAACCAGTCCAGTCTTTGGACGTCGATAGTCTGGTGGAAAGAATCACCGCAGAGGTATTGAAAGCTTTGGAGGCCTCACTGGACAAAAAGATTGACCCTGTCCTGCTAAAAACGCAAACGTGCACGTCTGACATTGCCTCGCTAGACACAAGAATCTCCGGTGCAGAGCAGCGCATATCCGTGCAGAAAGACGTGACTGAGAGCCATCATGCTAAACTTTCTGAGATGGAGTTGAAACTGGAGGCCGCACTTGAGAAGATTGATGATTCGGAAAATAGGGGCAGGAGATGTAATCTTAGTATTGTTGGCCTTGAGGAAGGCAGTGAGGGGACAAACCCAGTGTCCTTTTTTAAGTCATGGCTGCCTGCGCTTGTCGGTGAGAGTGATAATTTCAAAGGAGGCGTTGTTAAGATTGACCGCTGCCACCACGCTCTCTCCCGTCGCCCTCCCGCAGGACAAAGACCACGAGCGGTCATCATGAAGCTCCACAACTTCCAAGATAAGGTCCGGATTGATGATATTTGAGGATTTCTCTGCCTCTGTGTTGAAAAGGGGGGCGACAGTAGCTCAGTTGGTAGAGCATTGGCCTTAAGCCCAGAAGGTCGTGGGTTCAATTCCCACCTCTGCACCTTCTCCACCGACTCCCACTGATGACTGCTGTCGTTGTGTCCTTGGGCAAGACACTTAACCCCACTTTGCCCAAAGCCCCCACTGAAAGATCAAGGCTATGCTCACACTCAGAGAGCAGCCGTCCTCCTGTGGACTCACCACCTGCAGAGGGTCAGTGAGGGGCTGGTGCTATGAGACTTGGGTGGCATCTCTGACTGCCACCCCCCTGACCCAGAAATGGATTAAAGGGTAGAAAATGGATGGATGGATGGATGGCTGTGTTGAAAAGGCGACAAGAATTCATCGCAGTCAAGCGACGATGCAGAGAGCAGGGTATCGTATTTGCTATGACCCGGCTGTTTTGAGAATCAGACATCGCGGGGAGGAAAAGCTCTTCAGGCACCCAGCGGATGCAACCGGCTTTCTGGACGGGCTGATGGGTGCGAGGATGCCATCACCAGCCTCTTCTTAATCCTCTACATGCGCAGTTTACTACTGGATATGGCAGCTCTGGCTGTCAATATGACGAATAGAGTGGTAAGATTTAAATGTCTCAGAACTGGTATGTTATTACAAAAACCCTGGTCTTCTTAGTGTTTTTTTTTGTTGTTACTTTTATTTTGTCTCACGGTGTATATACATATTGGTATTCATAAAGAGCTGTGGGCCCAATAGCAACTGCATACAATTGATACCATGGCCCTGCATCTCTCCCGGTGTCCCTAGGGAAAGTTCCAAACCGGGTATCAAAAATGCATGGGGGAGTAGCCCAAACAGGGCTACCGTAGCCCATTGTGCTCCGAGGTCACTTTTTTTTGGGCTACGAGGTGCAAATGGGATACTATAACAACGCTTTGGGTTACTTTTCGACGGGCAACCGCCGGAGGGCGCTCTAAGCTTGATTTTTGAAGCTTTAGGATGAAATGTTTTTTTTTTTTGTTCTTTAGTGCTCGTTAGGGGCTGCTGTGGGGGGCACTTTAGGGTAGCCCTCTATGAAATTAGTTCGTTAGTGCTAATTAGGGGCCCCGCTGCTGCTGTGGGGGGCTCTTTAGGGTAGCCCTCTATTAAATTAGTTTGTTAGTGCTAATTAGGGGCCCCACTGCTGCTATGGGGGGCACTTTAGGGTTGCCCTCTATCAAATTAGTTTGTTAGTGCTAATTAGGGGCCCCGCTGCTGCCGCGGGGGGGCACTTTAGGGTAGCCCTCTATGAAATTAGTTTGTTAGTGCTAATTAGGGGCCCCGTTGCTACTGTGGAGGGCTCTTTAGGGTAACCCTGTATTAAATTAGTTTGTTAGTGCTAATTAGTGGCCCCGCTGCTGCCGCGGGGGGGACTTTAGGTAGCCTGATATGGAATTAGTTTGTTAGAGCTAATTAGGGGCCAAATGTTAAACTTTAGATTGCAGGCCTCATTTTTGAGTATGTCAAACACCACACTATTCTCTTCTCAAATATCTAGGCGTCCACTCAAATGGACCATTAGGAAGCTAAGTAGCTAACCGAGTGCCGGAGCAGGTTGAAACGTTGGATTCTTGTTCAGTCTGTATTTAAAGGGGCGTGTACTGAATTTAGAGTCATTTCGATTAAATTTGACCCTTTAACGAGCTTAATTATCATGAAAATCTGCCCCGCTTTAAGGCCCGCCCATCGAGAACCGTGTGCCCTCGTCTCGTGGCCCTCTAACACATATTTTAAATTCAAGTGTGTACCCCCAGTAGAACCAAAATCGGCTTTGTTTGGCTTGTGAAACCAACATGGTCTGAGACTTATAGCCAGGGCCGGAGTGGGACAACATTTCAGGTCGGGAGCTTTTCATCCATAGGGCACTGTCCGGTTTCCGAAATGTGCTAAAAATAGCTCAGATGACTGCGCATGCGCGCATGTTTCGGACAAACATTGTGTACGACTCGTTGAGTTCTACTGTGTTCTCCACATACGCGTTTGTATTTACTTGGGCTAAATCATTGAATCATGGTGACAACAAAACACTGCAGTTATGGTGCTTGTCGGAGCGATTTCAGATACTCTGAAAAGGACTATATGAAAGTAACATTCAACCCGTTCGTTAAACCACAACATCGGACCAGACCAGGACCAGACCAGGACCAGATCAGACCAGGTGGGTGCTTGTGGTCGGCAGAATTTCTCTCATGAAAAGGTTAAAAAGGGCACATGTTTTTTTCAAAACACTTCGCTGGACCAACTGTGGAGCATCCAGATCCAGTCCTAGCTACGTTTAGCTGGGACTGGATCTGGACCGCTGTATCAGGTCCGTCTGAGCTCTTCTGAATGTAGTTAGCACAAACTTTCTCTTTACACCATTTACCCCCATCAATCCATATTAGTATTGTTTGTCCTAATCCAGAAAGTATACAATTCTCACACCTGAAGAAAGATGAGAGGGATTTTTTTCAACTTTGTGTCTGCTTATTATACGGCTTTGTACCAATTGAACACACAAAATAAACGTCATTCACTACTCATGCCGAAAGGTTTATTTAATGAGTGCAAAGAAAATAGTTCCCAAAGGTTTTCCCGTGGCAGGCGAGTAACAGTGAGGATAGTTAAACCTAAAAGCGATCGCTTTAGTCGCATTAAAAAAGTATTTTTGTCATGAAAACCTGAACAGTTAATTCTGAAAACCTCCGTGCACTTGTGTTATGAATGTGTATAATGTATTCTCCCATTAAAATTTAAATGTGTTGATTGATTGTCATTTGCGTTTACTGAGTGTGGCTAGCTCTGATAGTTTCTCTCAGAGACAGTGGCGTAACCCGTTGTGATCATGGATTTATTATAATATCAGCTGACTGTAGCTAACTAATGATCAAACTAATTACAAAGTGGATAGTGCAAAAACAACTTGATAAATGGAAGTTAATCACAGCAAAACAAACAAAGAAGGCGCTAGCATTGCAATTTAAATGACTAGATAATGTTAGCATAATCCTCACCATTATCTTTTTATCAACTCAAACTTTCTACTGGAAGACCACGACATTCAAGCCAACGTTATAATTGGTCTACACTATGATCCCTGATGGTTTGATGGTGGAATTTTGCCCCTGGTATATCATTTTCGTCTAAAGTGACAAGAGGTATTTGATTCATTTCGGCAGTGTTTGTCCGAAACATGTGGGCGGGAGTTGACAGGCGGCGGGGGCGTGTCTTAGTGACGTCATTTAGATAGTTCGCTATTCAGGCCAAACAAGGTTCTAAATTTGGGTTTTTGTCATTGTATTTTGATGTTCTTTTAATAGTTTTAAGATTGACTGTCAAAACTTTTGTTTTCTTTTTTTTTTTTTTTATATTGACTGTTTATATAATCTCGGACGTTTAAGGATTGTTGTACGTTGCTTAGCAACGTAACGTTTATGAAGTTTAGTGAGAATAAAGACACACACACACACACACAATGAACTAAGTGTTCATTAGTGTATAACTATAACAAGCTAATCAATTATTGTTAAAAAAGTAGTAAGGTAAAATCACATCGTTACAGCTCATATAAAAGGAAAAATAAAACCGTGTATGAACCATCAGTTGGAGAGACCACTCATTTCAACCGGGGAAGCTACACTGGGTGCACTGCTAGGCTGGCCTGGCTGTGTAGCCGACGTGTGACGTCACATTTGTTTAATTTTGCTCTGGCCCAATGACAGTAAAGCTTTGGCCAGTGTTGTGCCAGTTCACAGCTTTTCTGAACTAGTTCAAGTTCAGTTCATACATGCTCAAAGTGAACAGTTCACGTTCGAAGTTCTCAATTTTAATTCTGAACTAGTTCAAATTTCAGTTCATTTTACTTTTTGCGAGATATTCAAATAAATATTTTTTTTCACTACGAGCTAGAAATCACAATACGTGGTATATATATATATATAATTATATATATAATTATATATTATATCCTGTACACTGCACAGGATGTTTTGACTCCAATGCAGACAAGATTTACATGGGTTTCAATGGGAACTGAGTTGTCCCATCTCTGCTCATAAGTACAAACTGTAATGCGCTGCAGAACGTGTGTCTATACTTTATGTCAAATGTAAACGGCCCTGTGTCACTGACTTACCCCTGTGTTTTCATCACGGCACATGTGAGTCCAACAACCAATGAATAGCACTAGCATATAGCGCCGCACCGCAAGTACACTGAGTCGGGGTGCGTTCACAGACGGTGGAAACCGTAGGAATTGTTAGTTTTCGGCGGAAACAGTGCGGAGAATACAGGAGGGAGGAACTTTCTCTCGTTGCGTTTCAAAAGAGAAAACAGATTTCACTCAGTTTTAAATGGAAAACAAATTGTCTGCCGTTCATGACACATAATATGAACTAATTCACGTTAAAGTTCTTTATTAAAAAATGAGCGTGTTCAATGAACGCGTTCTTTTGAACTCGTTCACGCACATCACTGGCTTTGGCCTGGGCCTTGCTCATTGGACCAGACCACCAGGCAGGGTAGGAGTTTGCAAAGACCGTGAGGATGAAATTAAATTAAAAGAAAAAAAAAAATAGACCGTGATGATAGGGCAGGCCCAGGCCACTTTGACACGCAGGCCACCGGGAGATCTCCCGATGCTCCCAATGGCCAGTCCGGGCCAGCTTATAGCCATTTAACCCCTTCTGCAGGGCTGGATTTTGGACAGCTCGTTAAGCTCCAGGAGGGTCGTGGGACAAATCCGACGCTGGATTATGTTAGAGGGCCCCCTGAACATTGTATAGACCGAATATGGTGACCCTGGGGTCAAAGGTCAAGCCAAAGTTGAGAAAAAGCAACTGATGCCTTTGCGGTGGAAAAAAACTGTCTCATTCAAATTTCATGAGAGCTACAGGTCTGAAAATGGAGTATGTGACTGATGGGCGCAGTGTGAATGTGGGGCGCGATTTGTGGACCATTGCTTCAAGGTCTTGGGGGTCAACAGGGGTCAGAGCTTGGTCATCTTCATTTCGGCTACTTGAAAGTTGCCCCTTTGACATTTGTCAGTTGGTGATTGTCTTTTTGGCTCTCATTCAAATTTCATGAGAGCTACAGGTCTGAAAATGGAGTATGTGACTGATGGGCGCAGTCTGAATGTGGGGTGCGATTTGTGGACGATTGCTCCAAGGTCTTGGGGTCGAAAAAGGGTCAGATTCCATTTTTTGTAAAAAAGAGTAGCCCAAGTTACAACTGCAATATGGGCTACTGTAACCCGATACAGTGAACACATGAGCTCATACAAGCTAGAGAGGCTGCTTTTCTGCCATTTGTATGTATAAAGTACACCTATGCTGTATACAGGTATCAAAACAAAATGAAGACTTTTGTTTTGTTATTGGCCATGTTCTTAACAGAAAATGCATATTTAGACCTTTCAGACATGTTAATAAAAATATAAATAGTTTGAAAACGAAATTTGACATGCACAAGATAGCGGCTTGTGACACAGCCTCCTCTAGGTTAATTTGACGCAAAAGTTTTCACAAACTTTGCCGTGAGCGTGTGCAGAGCCTGCCCCAGTCAGAGACTCGGAGCAGGAGGACGGACAGAGACAGTACTGGCTATTACACAGTAAGTAAATAAATTCCAATACAGTTTTAAAGCATGCTTGAACAATGCCATGCACATGTGTAGCACTCTTGTTTACATGCTGTGGGCAGCTGCCGACAGGGAGAGAATGGTGACTAAACTAAGGAGTTATAACAACTATTCCAGAGGCTGCAAATGGGCATCCATGCTATTAACAATGTCAAACATTTGTCAGTGCTGCTCTTCCGTATATTTTCATATTTTCCTTGTCAGTGATTCTAGAGCAAATTCCACATTATTGTAATTATTTTCTATACATTTGAAATTGTTTTAAACATGTTCTTTGGAAAACGTAGCCCAAGTTACAATTGCAAGATGGGCTACTTTTCAGTAGCCCATCTTGAAGTTGGGCTACTACTACTACTACTACTACTAATACTACTACTACTACTACTTTTTTATGTTTAATGCAATAAAATGAGTCTTTGTTGCCTTTTCCTCTAGTTCTCAGTACCAGCACCAAGGACAGCACCAGCACTGAGAACATCACAGCGGTAAGTGCTCTCCAACTACTACTACTACTGCTGCTACGGTTACTACTGCAGCTGCTACTGCTTCTACTACTGCTACTGCTGCTGCTACTGCTTCTACTACTGCTACTGCTAATACTACTATGTTCCTCTGTCCTTTCATTTAGATGACTAAGCCCAAACAGTCGGGCCAGTGCCCCATCTGCCTCAAAGTGTTGATGGACATAAGCAAACACATCCGCGAGGTGCACCGCATTCGAAACCAAACGGAGAGGAGCATTTTAAACGGCATATCCTTTGGCAGGATTTACATGCAACAGGGGCTATGCCCGGTCCCAGGGTGTGGTGTCTTTAGGAGACGCCTCTCCACACATTTAGAGGGCCACGGTGAGCTCTCCCCCGGCAGAAGGGAGTCCTTCAAGCAGGTAGCCCGCAGGGATGCCGCGTTGAAGCGGCTGTCAGAGCTGCGGGCTACCAACCCTCAACCTCCCATGGCCTCTGTGTTGGATCTTGAAGACAGCCTTGCCTCTGAATGCCGGCACCCGTCCTGCATTCAGAGGGAGTTTAGGATCCGGGAGATGGAGGTAAAGTATATGATATTTATTCTTTTCTCTTTGTACCTACCTCATTGCAAAAAGGGCTACTTTATCCGCACCAGATAAGTAGCCCTAATGCTTTTCTTTGGAAACGCTGTGATTTACTCCCCTTTGCATAATCTAGGACAGCAACTCAGACAGCCCCCGCCAGACCCCAGTCTGCCCATCTGCACTCTTTGTTAGTTCTGCTTTATACCAGAGTAAACAACTATTACCACTTCTACTCACATGCCCTGTATTTACCTGTCCCCACCCTAGAGCAGTGACGACGAGCCAAAGGTCGCCCTGGACCCCGAGGATCCAAAGGTCGCCCTGGACCCCGAGGAGCCAGTGGTCACTCAGGACCACACCGAGGAGCCAACGGTCGCCCTGGACCCCGACAAGCCAGCTGTCACTCAGGACCACACCGAGGAGGTTTTTGTTTCCTCACAAAACTGTGAAAGAAGCCATTTTTGTGAGGAAACAAAAACCTTCTCTTAACAGAGGAGGAGGGTTAAGATTTGTTTTGCCTCGCATCTATGACGACATCCTAAAAACAACGCCCCAACTGGGGACAAGGTCAATGACATGCTAATGAGTTAGGAGGGGTGAGACCTGCACTCCACTTGAGCATCCCACAGACAATAGGTCTGTGACATGCTAAGGAGTTAGGGTCGTTAGCCTCAGCAGGGTCGTTAGATCTGCTCCCCTTCTACATCAGACCTCAGATTGTTTATGAGTTAGTATAAGGATTAGGGTGTGGCTAACCACACCCATAGGTTATAAATCTCCAACGCGTGGTCTGAGAATTCATTCCCTGAAGAAGTCCGCCGGTTTGAGGACGAAACGTCGGGAAAACTTGCTAAGAAGTACAGATGATGGGTGAGAAACCTTCCTTTGCTTTAACTTTTTCTGCTCAAAAGTAGCCATTATTACATTTGCACTGTGGGATACTAAAAGTAGTAACTTTTCTCTACACTAAAGCATGGCCAAATTATTCCCATGTGGGTACCTTCAGCACATATGCTGCTTTTACCCTGATTAACAGATTTTTTTTTTAAATGAACTTGAGTGTTTGTGTGCTACTAAAATGCAGAAAAAGTAGCCCGTTACAACTGCAATATCGGCTACTTAAAAGTATCCCAAAATGCATACAAAGTGCCCAAAAATACAGAAAAAGTATCCCGTTACAACTGCATAATGGGCTACTAAAAAGTAGCCCAAAAAAATAGTGCCCCTAACGCGCAAACAGTAGCTCCTTTTGCAATTGCCTTTTAGGGGACCTATTTCAGTGACTCGGGGTACTGCGGACGCCCCCTTGTGGCGACTCTCGGGATAAAGTTCCGCAGGTAGCCCAAACTGCGGAAGGCCTGACGGTCCCCAGGGAAGATAGCTTGCGCCTCCTGTTGGGCGTTTGTTGTCTGACTCCTTCTTTTGTTTTTGTTTTTCTACAAATGTTTTTGTTAGACATTTTTGGTTCCATGTGAGCAAGGCAGAGCATTTATTTTTTTCTGAGTTTGTACTCTTTTTGTATATCTTTGTGTACTATTTTGAGGTCTTAATAATAACAACATTGCTCGGATCCACTTGGTTATTTGTCTGTAAATTAATATGACCAGTACTGGTTCAGCTTTGAAGATCTGCAGCTGGAATGTTGGTGGTATACATAGTCCTATCAAGCGTAAACAAATTATTAGTTTTCTGAAAAAGGAAGGTATACACGTGGGTCTCCTGCAAGAGAGCCACGTAACTAATGAAGAACATTTAAAACTAGAAACTTGCAATGGCTGAAGCCATTGCGATTGACTGCGGAACAGATCTAATGTGGAAATCTGCTAAAAAAAATCCTTGAAATCCTTTAAAAGGCCTTGAAACTGTTAAAATACTTGATAGATATTTGAAACTCCTGAAGTCCTTGAAATTGTTGAAACCTTTAAACTCCTGAAATCCTTGAAACTGTTGAAACATTGAAACTCCTGAAATCCTTGAAACTTTTTTAAACCTGGAAACTGTTGAAAGTGTGGAAACTCCTGAAATCCTTGAACCTCCTGATATCCTTGAAACTGGTTAAATTCTTAAACAGTTGAAATCCTTGAAACTACTGAATGTATTGAAAGTGTCCTTGAAACTGAAAAATCCCCTCACCGCTGAAACAATTTGGTTCCTGTAACTAAGGAAACCTGGTCTGTGGTCATTATCTGGTGGTGGTCTGAGTCTTCGTTTGGGTCTTGGTCTGGTGGTATAATGCAACCTATTAGGTTGCATTATACTGGTTTACATGGAAAAATCCCTATTAGGTTGCATTATACCGGTTTACATGGAAAAATCCCTATTAAGTTGCATTATACTGGTTTACATGGAAAAATCTCTATTAAGTTGCATTATACTGGTTTACATGGAAAAATCCCTATTAGGTTGCATTATACTGGTTTACATGTACAAATCCCTATTAATTTGCTTTATACTGGTTTACATGTAAAAACCCCTATTAGGTTACATTATAGTGGTTTACATGTAAAAATCCTTATTAAGTTGCATTATACTGGTTTACATGTAAAAACCCCTATTAAGTTCCATTATACTGGTTTACATGTAAAAACCCCTATTAAGTTCCATTATACTGGTTTACATGTAAAAACCCTATTTAAGTTGCATTATACTGGTTTACATGAAAAAACCCAAAGACATTTTGTTGTATATTGAGACCTATTATAACTTCTGTCTCCACTGTGTTTAAATCCTTGTGGTGTCAGTTTTTATTGTGGTAAGAATGTCTTAAGATAAGTGCCCATGGCAACACCCTTCCCCCAACGACTCTAGCAAGATGTGAAGACTTACAAGGACCCACAGGGAAGATAAAAACAGTTGCTTTGGGAACACGGGGCCCAGACTCCCGGGGCTCTGTCAGGGCACCAAGGGGCTTTGGGCCTCTTAGATGGCTCAAACCTCAGCACCACTGTTTGAGAGGACTTCCTCACCCTTCAATAGCCCTCCAGCTTCAACCTGAAGAAGTTGCTGAGTTTTTGCACCTAGGACTGTGGATCGTAGGAGGGGACTTGGTTTCAGCACATGGATGCAGCGCCTGGTCCCAGGCCCGTGGACAAAGAAGCCTCCATCCACACCATCAATACCAAGGAAGTCTTCCACCAAGGTATTTGGTTTGTATGATGCTCTCTGATACACACAGCTGTTGGCTTTCTTTAAAACCTATACTTCAAAGAATACTCTCTTACCAAAGGCTGAACACATGCAGGCCTCAGCCTTTACCATATTCATAGACAAAGGTCTTGTTAGTCACTTTAGCCTCAGCATTTTAATATGTATCTTGAAATCACGCGTTCCTTCATGTTTTCTTGACAATTTGCATATTTCATATCTAGTCCTGTATTTGTGTATACTTCATTAAATCTACCAAAAACCATCTTTGTCTGAAAGTGATATTTGCTACTTTTAATCCAGAAATTGGGTCATGATTTGTAAAAAGAATTCATACCTTCAGATTCTATTGAAGAGAATTGGACTAATTAAATAATGAAGGACTCATGCAGATTACTTAATCAATAAATGAGCCAATTATTGATATTGTGACGTCATTGGCACGTTATCAGTTGGGAGTATACCTTGGGTGCCCCTAAAAAGTATTATCAATTTATTGTAATTTATTTAAAACTAAAACACAGGAACTCGTGATGAGAAAGAAAGGAAAGTGTCTGAGGGTGAGATGGATTTAAATATAACAGTTCTGGTGTTGTTGTTAGAGTGTGTGTTAGCGGTGTGTGTTAGAGTGTGTGTTCGGACTGTGTATTAGGTTTTGTGTTAGAGTGTGTGTTATGAGTGTGTGTTAGAGTGTGTGTTTAGAGTGTTTGTCGAGTTTGTGTTAGAGTGTGTGTTAGAGTGTGTGTTAGAGTGGGTGTTAGACTGTGTGTTAGACTGTGTATTAGAGTTTGTGTTAGAGTGTGTGTTAGCGTGTGTTGTTAGAGTGTGTGTTAGGTGTGTGTCAGAGTTTGTGTTAGGTGTGTGTTAGAGTGTGTGTCAGAGTTAGTTTGTTCGATTGTGTATTAGAGTTTTGTGTTCGAGTGTGTGTAGAGTTTGTGTAGGTGTGTATTAGAGTTTGTGTAGGGTTGTGTGTTAGAGTGTGTGTTGAGTGTGGTTAGACTGTGTATTAGAGTTTGTGTTAGAGTGTGTGTTAGAGTGTGTGTTAGAGTGTGTGTTAGAGTGTGTGTCAGAGTTTGTGTTAGATGGTGGTGGGTATTAGGTTTGAGTTAGAGTGTGTGTTATGAGTGTGTGTGTAGAGTGTGTGTTAGTGTGGGTGTTAGAGTGTGTGTTAGTTTAGAGTTTGTGTTAGAGTGTGTGTAGAGTGTGTATTAGAGTTTGTGTTAGAGTGGTGTTAGAGTGTGTGTTAGAGTGTGTTTAGAGTTTGTGTTAGTGTGAGTGTTAGAGGTTTTGTGTTAGAGTTTGAGTTTAGAGTGTATGTTAGAGTTTGTTTTAGAGTTTGTGTTAGAGTGTGTGTAGAGTTTGTGTTAGAGTGTGTTTTGAAGTTTGAGTTAGAGTTTGTGTATTAGAGTTTGTGTTAGGTTTGTGTTAGAGTTTGTGTTAGAGTGTGTGTTAGCGTTTGTGTAGAGTTTGTGTTAGAGTGTGTGTTAGAGTTTGTGTTAGAGTTTGTGTTTGAGTTTGTGTTAGAGTGTGTGTTAGTTTGTGTTAGAGTTTGTGTTGAGTGTGTGTTAGACTGTGTGTTAGAGTTTGTGTTAGGAGTTTGTGGTTAGAGTGTGTGTTAGAGTTTTGTTAGTTAGAGTTTGGTTAGAGTTGTTGTTAGGCAGGTGGTGTTAGAGTTTGTGTTAGAGTGTGTGTTAGAGTGTGTGTTAGAGTGTGTGTTAGAGTTTGTGTTAGAGTTTGTGTTAGAGTGTTTTGTGTTAGAGTTTGTGTTAGGTGTTAGAGTTTGTGTTAGAGTTTGTGTTAGAGTCGTTGTGTTAGAGTTTGTGTTGAGTGATGTGTTAGAGTGTGTGTTAGAGTGTGTGTTAGGTTTTTGTTAGAGTTTGGAGTAGAGTGTGTGTTAGAGTTGTGTTAGAGTGTGTGTTAGAGTTTGTGTTAGAGTGTGTGTTAGAGTTTGGGTGTTAGAGTTTGTTGTTAGAGTGTGTGATAGAGTTTGTGTTAGAGTGTGTGTTAGAGTTTGTGTTAGTGTGTGTGTTAGAGTTTGTGTTAGAGTTGTGTTAGAGTTTGTGTTAGAGTGTGGGGTAGCGTTTTTGAGTTAGAGTGTGTGTTAGATGTGTGTTAGAATGTGTGTTAGAGTTGTGTTAGAGTGTGTTTGAGTGTGTGGTAGAGTGTGTGTTAGGAGTTTGTGTTAGAGTTTGTTTAGAGTTTGTGTTAGCGTTTGTGTTGGAGTGTGTGTTATAGTTTGTGTTAGTGTTTGTGTTAGCAGTGTGTGTATAGAGTTTGTGTTAGAGTTGTGTTAGAGTTTGTGTTAGGTGTGTGTTAGTTTGTGTTAGAGTTTGTTAGAGTGGTGTTAGAATGTGTGTGAGAGTTTGTGTTAGAGTTTTGTGTTAGAGGTGTGTGTTAGCGGTTGTGTTAGAGTTTGTGTTAGAGTTTGTGTTAGAGTGTGTGTTTAGAGTTTGTGTTAGTGTGTGTTAGAGTTGGTGTTAGAGTTTGTGTTAGAGTGTGTGTTAGAGTTTGTGTTTAGAGTTTGTGTTAGAGTTTGTGTTAGAGTGTGTGTCAGTTTGTGTTATGAGTTTGTAGAGTGGTGTGTTAGAATGTGTGTTAGAGTTTGTGTAGAGTTTGTGTTAGAGTGTGTGTTTGAGTTTGTGTTAGAGTTTGTGTTAGAGTGTGTGTTAGAGTGTGTGTTAGAGTTTGTGTTAGAGTGTGTGTTAGAGTTTGTGTTAGATGTTGTATGTTAGAGTGTGTGTTAGAGTTTGTGTTAGAGAGTGTGTTAGAGTTTGTGTTAGAGTGTGTGTTAGAGTGTGTGTTAGAGTGTGTGTTAGAGTTTGTGTTAGAGTGTGTGTTAGGAGTTTGTGTTAGAGTGTGTGTTTGAGTTTGTGTTGAGTGTGTGTTGGTTTGTTTTGTTAGAGTTTGTGTTAGAGAGTGTGTTAGCGTTTGTGTTAGAGTGTGTGTTAGAGTGTGTGTTAGAGTGGGTGTTAGAGTTTGTGTTAGAGTTGAGTTAGAGTGTGAGTTAGTTTGTGTTTGAGTTGTGTGTTAGAGTTTGTGTTCGAGTGTGTGTTAGAGTGTTGTGGTTTAGAGTTTGTGTTTAGCGTGTGTGTTGAGTTTGTGTTAGAGTGTGTGTTAGAGTTTGTGTTCGAGTGTGTGTTAGGTGTTTGTGTTAGGTGTGTGTTCGGTTTGTGTTAGCGTGTGTGTTAGAGTTTGTG